AAAAAAAGTGTTTATATACAGAGCCACATGTTGAAGCTTATATTTAACTGTGGGGGAAAAAAATAACAGCTGTTTGTCTTGAAGAGGGAATTAAAATCTATTTTTGGCAGTGGAGCAACATATTTGCTGCTCCAGGGAATATACAATATCCAGCTGTATGACTTCAGCTTCCACCAAATATTTCCCTTAGCTGAAAAACAACAAAAAACTTTCTGAATTGCTTGTAAAACTTTTTATTATTATTATTATCAGTGATAATTCTGTCATTTAGATTGCAATGTTCAGTTCACTAATCTTCAGTTTTGAAAAAAAAAAGAAAGAAACAAACAAAAAACATAAATAGACATTAAAACATGCAACTCAGTCAGCAATATAGCTGGAATTTGTCGTATTCGTAGCTGAGAACAATCCATAATAGACTGCAAATCAAAAATCTAAGATGACCACCTGAGCAAAAAGGGTAAAATACTATAAATCAACTATTTTTAGAGATATTAAGCTAACATTTGCTATGGTGGTAGCTGAGAACAAACTCCAATACATAGTACTGTTAACATAGTACTATTAAATCAAAATTGTAAAATGGTCACAACGTGGCAGTCCCAGTCAAAGTTTCTCCTTCAACTTCCTAGTTGGCTCCTGGTATACCTGAGCTCTGAAGTTTCTCTATAAACCAATAAAAGAAGGTTCTCCTTAAAGATATTCTGTTGACTTTCTACATGAAACATAGATGGATATTATTGAATGACCAGCAGAGGTTTCTGCAGCTCAAGTAACTTCTTTGGCCAAAAAAACAAAACAAAAAAAGAATCAAAAGTCAGACTACCCTCTGACTGTGGACTGCACTAACATGAACCTTGCCGTCAATAGTGAAGATCACGTTAACTTTCATATTTCTGTTAGCTAATTTTTGGTCAGAGTTTATGGGTGTTTTAATTACTATGGCTGAGAATATTAACTCTGCCCATGAATCATATTTTTGGGTTATTAAAGAGCTGAATGAGGAGCTGGTTGAGGCTGCTACATGCAGCAGTCGCTTCAAGGACACCTCAGAGTCTGTGAGCTCGGCTGAACTGATCAGAGTATAAAAACAAGCTGCACAGACGGCTCGGGGCAGATTCTCATGACTGGTCTTCATGTGTACTTCCTGTATATCTGTTTTTACTTCTTGTATAACTATGTGTACTTCCTGTATATCTGTGTGTATTTCCTGTATATCTGTGTGTACTTCCTGTACATCTGTGTAGCCTGTCCTGAAAAGTTTATCCTCGCAAGTAAAATACCAGGTAAAAATCTTCTCCTGTCATGGAGTGTGGTTCATTTTGCGTATGTGATGAAGTGAGAATATTTTTCTCGAACAGTTTGTGTTTTGTTTGTCTCCACAGAGGCACTTCTCAGTCTTTGCCCTGTCGTTTCCTGGAGCAGAGGCTCTGAGCACCATTTACAGCTCCATCCTGTCCCACCACCTGAGAGGCAGGGCTTTCAGCCACGCCCTGCAGAAGACCTGCCCCACCTTGGTCCAGTTAGCCCTGGCTTTGCACCAGCGCATCTCCTCCACCTTCCTCCCCACCGCAGTCAAATTCCACTACGTGTTCAACCTCCGCGACCTCTCCAACATATTCCAGGTGACACACGAATCACACAAGGTTCAGTGTTTCAGGAGCGTGAACTTAGGTTAGTCTTCTCATGATGAAGTTTACAGTTTTAAAAGTTATCCTTTTCACCTCAGAATCAACCCTTTGTTTTATGTCCTTTTCTCTTTCTCTGCACCTCATGAGGCTTCCACCACTAATTTCTCACTAAATGATTATTGATTTAAGAGCAGGCTCTGAAAGCTGGAAATGAATCTAAAATGGAGTGTAACAGAAAATACAATAGATTTGCTTTTCCATGGGTGCATAAATGTGTTTAAATTAATATAATAAAAGAGCGTTAATGCTGTCAGGGGAGAACCTTTTGGGCCAAATTACTGTGAGAATCCTCCACGGTTTTAATGGAGGGCAGACTCTTCCATTTAACACACTCTCTTGTATAATTAATGCTGTGATCCACACAGATATAGAAACTGAACTTTTTATTATTCCAAACTGGAGTTTACCAATGAAATAATGAGTTCTCTTTCTTTTTTGTGCACAGAAGTGCTGCTACACTAATATTTTTTTTTAAGTGGCACAAATCAATATTTTATACACACCAAATATAAATGAACTTTATTCAAACTTACAGGCATTATCAGGTGAAAACAAAAGTTGATGGACCAAATATGCAGAAAATGTTCAACTAAAGTCAGTCTTTGAAATTAACAGGACAATATTCAACCTTTTAAGGAACTTTTTTTTAACAAAAATAAAGTAGCATGCATTTATCAGAGACCACGTCAAATTTCTAAACCTCCCTAAAGCCACTATGTTTCTAGGCCAAGGTTATTGGGGCTTGGTGACTCAAAATTGTGAGAAAAATCTGAGAAAATAGTTCACATATCACCAAAAAGTCCATGCTCAATATTCCAGGTATACAATCCAACAATTTTCAGTCAGGTCTTCTGGACAGTTTCTGTCCAGACTGTCCAGATGACCTGACTAAAAATTGTTGGATTGTATACCTGGATTATTGAGCATGGACTTTTTTGGTTTTGAACCAGTTTAACATGACTGTCGACGAGGAAGAGGGCCGGTAACTGAGGAGGGGGCGTGCCAAAGACACCATCTTAGCACCAACATAACTGGTTTGTTCCACTTTGGAGTAAGCTGTTGGGGGAAGAATCAGTTTGTGTTGTGTGTTTCCTTGACTGATGAAGCCTTCTGGATGGAAGGTGAAACGTTTTAGCAAAAAAAAAAGAAACTGTCCAGATGACCTGACTGAAAATTGTTGGAGATCACATATCAGTTTGTCTCACTGTTTTCAACCACGTGACCAGCTTACAGCTTTGTTTTAAAACAGTTATTGTTGTGTGCATGGCTTGCCATACTGTATTCTAGGCTGTGCACATAGTTTAATTACCCACCTCCGTCTACACACAGTGGCTGCCCTGATGTTAGTGACTTAATTTACTGGAGAACCTTTAGAAATGAGCATTTAGACCTAAGTAGTATTGATCGTTGTTTTTGTAGCCTTGAATGTTTTCAGTTAAAAGTAAGGCTTCCATGCTGATGCCGTAGTGGTCTACTTTTTTGTTTCTTTCAGCTGTTCATTTTTTCAGAGGTTGCCACAGTGGGCAAACTCGCACAAAGATTTGGCAATATCTTCAGCCAGTTGCCCTTGCAGAGAGCTAACACAGGCCACATTATATTAACCTTTATTTAACCAGGCAAATCCCACTGAGATCACAGATCTCTTTTGCAAGGGAGGCCTGGGTCTGAAGGCAATTTTTGGTCTGTGGGAGGAAACTGGAGTACCTGGATAAAACCCATGCAAGCACGAGACCAACATGCAAACTCCACACAGAAAGACCCCAGGTCCAACCGGGGATTGAACCCAGGATCTTCTTACTGTGAGGCAACAGTGCTAACCACTGAGCTGTCGTGCTGCCACATGTGTGGAGCAGAGGGCTTTAAAGTATAATCTCAAAAGATGGCCACCTGAGTTACGTATATTTTGTTTTGGGACATCAGGGGCCGTCCCATGATGGGGGGATCCTGTCATAATCTGTGTGTTTTGTGGTGTTTAGTGTCTACTTGTGATAATTTTATTTAGTTTTCTGGATCTGTTTTTTCCTGTGTTTCCAGTTTCCTCAGTGTTTATCCCTGAAGCACTGAGAAAATGTGTTTCCTCAGTGGGCCTCGCATGTTTCATTAAATTAATACAAAACTACATATTCCTTCCATTAAAATAGCATGGCTTCATAGTAGATTCTGGGTACTAAAGTGGCCTGCTGTACAGAGGTCTCACCAAACTAAAATCTTTGGCTAATCTTGAAACAACAAATCTGGCAAAGAAGACCAAGGACTGTTACAGATACAGTCCTACATATGAAAATAACTCAAAAATGTAAGCGCCTGGTCTCCTTAGTTCCTCAATGGTTAAAGACTGTTCTTAAAGAACAGGAGCTGCTTCACAGTAGTAAACATAGCATTGTCCCAACTTTTTAGAGATCAATTGATCCCATTTTTTTTCAAGTACAATTTCTTTATTTAAACATTCAATGTTTTTTCCTGTTCAATTGTGAATTCTCCTGTAGTTTTTTTTAACAGTTTCTTCAACTTTAGTTAGGAAATCATGCTTATCATGCTTCAGGTTGGTTAAAAAGAAAGCAAAGTAAAATAAGTAGTTTTGGGCGTGATGGTTAGCCATAGGTGGCTCAGTTGGTAGAGTTGTTGTCTCTCAACAAGAAGGTTGTCGGTTGAAATCCCAGCTGGGGGCCTTTCTGGATGTAGTTTTCATGTTCTCTCCGTGCTGTGTGTGTTTTCAATTAAATTCAATTCAATTCAAAAATACTTTATTAATCCAAAAGGGAAATTATTTGTTGTTGTAACTCATTATCCCATTTCATTAAGAGATGTTATAGATACTGATGGCTGTAGACAGGAAGGATCTCTTGTAAAGGTCCATCCCACAGTGGATCCTAAGAAACTGGCTGCAGATGCTGTCCGATCCGTCCACATAGACTCGGCTGGCCTCTTGGTTGGCTGTAGGACCGCCCGAATGCCGGGCAGAACTCCTCCCAGAGCGATGGCCCCTCCTTCCAGCAGTCTCCCGAGCTCCTTGTCTCTGCAGACAGCCAACTGTAGATGCTGAGGGACGATCCTGTCCTTCCGCTGTCATGAACCATGTTTCCTGCTAGTTCCAGGATCCCAGTGGTCAGGCACTCGAGCACAGCTGGCAGGTAGATGAGAATGTGTCCACAGAACATCCTTTTCAACTCACTTGAGATTTGGGGCTGTCGTTGAGATATTATTTGAGCTTTTGATGTGTTAATCAGCTGCTGTTGGTAGTAGAAAACTGCCTTGTTGCCATGGTTACGCATCATAACAAATGTCCAAAACTAAAAAAAGTTTCAGTAAAAATCCTTCCAGCTGCACAGCATCTGATACCAGAGGAAACAATCCTCCAAAAAATGTGATTTACATCCAGAAAAAGAGGAATTAAAGTTTCCAAAAGCAAAATCTCAGAATGAAAGTAACAGAGCTGCTCCAACATGCAGCCACCTTGAGCGGCGCAATTTTAGAACTTTTTATTCTATTTTTTGTTTTTATTCTACTTTTTATTTTATTTCTATTGGTACTCCAATTTCCTCCCACAGACCAAAAAAACATGTATGTTAGGCTGATTGGTAACTCTAAATTTTCCCTAGATGAGAGTGAGAGGGTGAATGTTGTTTGTCTCATTTGTCCTTGTGTCCCTGTGATGGACTGGAGACCTGTCAAGGGTGTCCTTTGCCTCTCGCACAGTGATGGCTGGATAAAAGCCCCAGTGAACCCCCGCGACCCAAAAAGGAAAAAGCGGGAAAGATAACGGATGATGGATGGTTAGCCAACAATAAGGAGATGTCTGACTGCTAAGTCATCCAACAGGCTCGTCTCTGTAAACATGCTGGGGTATTTTGTTGCATGTTTGAGGCTTCAGCAGTTTAACATTGAAGCCGATGTTTCATTTGAAAGCTGAAACCTTGATGACACACATCACTACCTTCAAACAGAAGTGAATTTACTCAAACACTTTGATGCTGGCTGTTGGAGGAGGCCGTTCTGACGACTTTGACAAAGTCTTTGTGTTTTCTTTAATTGGCCTGAACAGTGCCAGTGAACTCCCAGTATCAACACAGTGGAAACAACGTCAAAGCTGTCTTGCATTTCGTTTCCAGTAAAAAAATATAAAGAAAGTAAGAGAAGCAACTCGGAGAGTGCATTTGAAGTTTTCCTTCCTTACTTATTCAAGTCTTGGCTCTAACACTTCAGGACAGGTGGGAAGAAAGGAGCAGGCTCTCGGTTCACATCCCTGCCTGAGTTGTAATTCCCCAATCAAATCTGTGCTTTTGCACCTTCAGATGTGGAAAAGTATTTGGCGTGACAGTACAAACACTTCCTCTAATTTTGAGCATGTGGCCTAAACGGTTGTCAGTCTTCATTTCCTAGCTGATGTTTCAGAAGTTTGCCTCAGCTAAAATAATTGGAGGACATTTTGTGCTCGTCTGTAGTCTGTTTGGTTTATTTTGTGTGTGTGTGTGTGTGTGTGTGTGTGGGGGGGGGGGGGGGGGGGTTCCTTTAGATGCTAGTGATGCAGCCAAGAGAAAGTGTCTCATTATGATAAACTCTAATGAGCTAGAAAGCTGAACTCAAAGGCTCTGCGTGAGCTGAAGCCAGTCTTTGTAAAGGTGTTTTAAATGTGACAAAAAAGTGTCTAAGAAAACAATGAAGACTCTTTAGAGGTTGGTATTAGTTATTTGCTTACACGTTTCTTGAGTTTATTAAGTAGAAAGTTGGAGTTAACGTAGGCTTTACTTTGGGGATGGTATCTTCAACCACTTATTGTTGTGTCCTGCTGCCAAAAGCAAAAGAAAAAGCATTAATGTTTTTTTTCTTTGTTAAGTGTGTACATGTGTGTACATGTGTGTGTTTTCAAAATGTCTCACGAACCACTTGCCATGGGTTTAGTTCATTCCAAATGAATATCATTGGTTTGCCTTCCT